CACATTTAGAGAGGCAGTAGGGTATTTTATATTTTATAATAAAGAAAATATTCTCCTTCTGTAATTAGGTGGAGTGCATGAGGCCACAAAATACTTCTCACTTTTACAGAAGACCAACCACAACACATCGGAGTTGCGATATTTCGTCTTAAACATCACACTCACGAGTGTGAATTCTGACTAATCGAGGGAGAAATCGTGATAAATCGCTTACTGATAGTTTAAAATTCAATCTCGCATGAATTGACGGCGTTGCATGAGAAAACATCATTCTGTAGGAGTGTTCTGCACTTTCTATTGATTGGTCTCACTGATTTATATTCACGATCGTGTGTATTTTAAGGATTCTTGAATGTTTGCGATTTTCTCATCAGCTCTGTTATTCACACTTGATAGAGAATGATGAGAATACCTTGTGGTGACGCGCTACGTAAATAACAGAGAGTAGTTCATGCAATAAGCGACAGTAGGCAAACACCATCCATGTATTCACTTAGTCATATTTTGTCATTAGAATCAGTTGAAAGCCGAGTACTTTCCATCGGTATGTGAGTGAGAATACACTCACTCGATGGTTTGATAGCATTTTCTAACAAAGCTTTATACTTGGTAAATAAGTTAATTGTGGTATCATTTGAATTGAAGTCAGCTGAATCCATCTTCAAATAAATTGATTATGATAATGTTGGATTCATCGTATACCTGGAATTTGAGTTACATTGTTATATATCAATTGCAGCCAAATTTTTTGCGGATACATCAAGCATTTTGAAGAAAGACGAAGGTTAGTTTTCTTTCACTTTGAAATTCATCTTCGTAACTTATAAACTGTGCTGAAATATCTGTCGTCATTTTGTGAATAGTAGTTCCTCTGATCTAATTATTATACATATTCACAACTCCACTGTAATGTGGTGAAATTTATTTGTAATAAACCATGTCTGAATATCCTTTGTGACAACCAGATGCAGCAGCTAGTTGATTGTTCGACTCAATTCTGGAGTTGTTTGGATATGTAGGAGAGGTTTATCTACGCACTCAAACACTCTGTCTGCTCAAATTCATTTTGCATCAGCATATGCAGTTCTGACACATAAAACACCTCCTTCACAATATCGAACTCTACATAGGTGGAGTTCTATCGGAACTTTTTTCACAGAAAGATCATCTTGATGAGTAATACGTATTAAAATAATGACAATGAACACTGTAGTTCACATTTTATCACGAAAAAGTACAAAGTGTTTTGGGTGGTTTTACTATTATCTAGTATGAAACATGTATGTGTGTAAAAATCTATGCCTTACATACTATGGTTTACCCAGAAATAATGGACGGAATTATATTCACTCAGTGAAGTATCAGTACGACTGTAGTAAACAAGAGACCTGGTAAAGGGATATTTATTTGAAAGTTGATGTTGCTGAATAGCCAAATTGCGTACAACTTATCTTCAAATCACCATTTGCAAAGATCTTCCTCTTTGTGCTACTTCTCTCCTTTATATTGTGTTTCTTTGTATGTCTTCCATGTCTCCCATGTTGCGCCGGAACACTGAATCATTTGCTTTCCTTGATGTCAAATCCATCTCCCTGCTATTCGATGTTTTTCTCTGATAAACGTCTCTTCATATTCTACTTATAAATCTTATCAGTAGCAATTGCCCCGTCAGTCCTTAACATGCAGACACTCCTCAAAATGTAGCATGTCCTTATAATTACAAAGTGTAACTTTTGAAACTATTAACACGATTATCCATTCAATGATTTCACAAAAGTTTAGTATTCTATGCAAACGATTATTGTCCCGTAATGGACAAAGTCTAGGCAACATTGAAGATGGGCACGAACGCAGTATAAGTGCAGCTTACACATAGAGAAGGCATTTGCTTTGCTGATGTCAGTAAGTACTCAAAATATCATGTGGTAAGATGGACATTATCAACAGGAAAACCAATCAATTGTGACAGTCAGTAACCATTGAGTAAATATGATCACTTCACGTTGATGAATAGACAGTGAAATATTTCATACCTTTCGATACTGTGAAATTATAGCTAAGAGTGGAATAACAAAGAAGATTTTCGAAGAAGAGAAGGAAGCAGTGAATACAACCAAAGGTAAAATTATAAAATGTAATTATGAAAATTCACTCGCCATTTTTTTTATAGTTATTCGTTAAGTGTCCCATTTACTCATCAGTAACACACATAATAACTAAAGTCTATTAGATATCCACTTAACTAGCAGTACAATAACTTCTCAGAAATATAAGGAAGGTAAGTTCCATCACAGATGAGTCACTACTCCTTTCGTGAGGAGTGGAGTAAACGTTTCAAAACTAATATATTCACTGTGTTGTGATAAGGAACGTGTTGAGAAGTAATCAAATTATTATGACACGTTTCTTAGTCGTCAATCTATTGTATTCATCATGATGACGTTGAATTTTCTTGATTAACGCTTTACATATTATTCGCACTTCTTGTTTTCTTGTATTTATTATTATTGGTTTCTTTCGTTCTAAGAAGAACATAGGGATTCAGCCGCACATCTTCATTGCGTTCGGTTATCCGTCAGCGTTTTCACCTGGCTCCACATCTGCCCACATGCTTCTATCTCCTTTTTTCATGACCTCCTTGATGTCACCTTCGCACTGACGACTAACTAGCCGCTTTTTATTCGCGTTCCACTTGAGGGCGTGTCTTGTGATATCACTTGATGTTTTTCTCGAAGTATGGCCAATCCACGTCCATTTCTTCGTGCTTGTTTGTTGCACAATTGGTTTCTGATTGGTTCTTTTAGAGAGGTCTCTCTTTGCTGCTGATCCTTTCTGGCCATTTGATCTCGAGTATGGAGCGAGGACAACTGTTGATGAAGGTCTGTAGTTTGTTTGAGATGCTCTTCATGACGCGTTGGCCAAGTCACTGATCCATATAGTATCACCGACTTCACATTGGAGTTGAAAATCCGGATCTTATTTTCATTTTTATTGCTGACTGCTGTTGACCTCGACACAGACATGAGAGTAGTGAAAGCTTGTCTTGCTTTTCCGATTCTTGCTTTGATATCCTCGTCAGTTCCGCCTGTAGTTTAAACGATGCTTCCTGTATAGGCAAAAGGGGTTGCTTCTTTCAGATTTCTCCCATTTATGATGATTGTTGTCTATTGTTGTTTCCGATGTTGTTGGCCAGAAATCTTCATAACATACGTCTTTTTTCTCTATGTTCATCTAAAGTAACTCGTATTTTTGATGCTTCTTCTGCAAATTTATTGCTTTTCACTTGCATATCTTCCGGTTTGTGAGAAATCAGACGTATATCATCGGAGAAGTTCACATCCCCCACGTTTTTCGTGTGGGTACATTTTATGCCTGTTTCTTCGCTGCCTGCCACTGTCTGTTGCGTAATCCAGGTCACCGCAATCAGAGAAATCATTGGAAACCGTAGGCAGCCAGCTTGTCTTACTCATATTTTCACTATGATGGATTCCGTGAGGTTTCCCGTTGTGAATAAATTGGCACGTAGCACTGTCATACAACCGTTGGATGAGATGTATATTTTTTGGCGGCACCCTGTAGTAGTGAAGCACCTGCAAATCACTTCTCAATTGACGCTGTCGAAGGCCTTTTCAAAGTCACTGAAGTTGAATTCAAGAGCCGACTTCCATTCCGAGCTCTGTTTAATGATGATCGTAGTGTTGCAATTTGTTCGATGCATGAGTTGTTCATCCAAGTCCAGCCTGTTCCGGTTGACGTTTTCGATCCAGGGCGTGTTTGATTCTCTCCTGGATGATGTGGCTTAGTATTTTGTTCAGGATGGACAGGTACATTGACTTTAGTCTCCTTTCTTAGACAGTTTGAATACGTAGCCTTCCTTCCACCTCGCAGTTACCTCTCCATCTTTCCACTCCTTCCCCAGTACTGGTGTCGTCAAGTCCACTGATGACTCTGGGTCCATTTTCAATGCCTTTGCAAGGATACCGTCTGGTCTTACTGCTTTTCCAGTTTTTAGCATCCTAATGGCCTTCAGGATTTCTGTTCTTGTCGGAGGGTTGAAGTCCACTGGTAGTGGTGCTGTTTCTGCTGTTGGTGTTATTGTGCGCGTTGTAAGGGGCAGTCAACTCAGAAGTCTTTTGAAGTGTTCAGCCCAGTGTTACCTTTCCTCCACCTCTTTGCTGATGGGCTTTCCATTGTTGTCTTTCACTGACCTAATTTGTGTTAAACGTTTCCCCGATAAGGACCAAGTTGTTTGATAGAATGTTGCCAGGTCACCTTTGCCTACAGGCTGTTCCACTTCACTTGCCATAGTTTCGTGATAACATCCTTTTTCTTTCCTGACTGTTTAATTTACTCTTTTTCTCAGTGCAGTGTAGCTTGCATTCAACTCCTGTTTTTGTCGCTCGTCAATACACTGGACAATCTTTTGTTTCAATATCCTTCTCTCCTCTGTTATTCTCCATGTGTCCGTAGTGAGCCATTGTTTGTCTTGTCTCTTCTTTCTGCCTAGAACGTTCATGCAGGTTTCACTTCACACCACTTTCACGTTGTCCCAGTGCTTTTCAACGCTGATCTCTTCGCTAGTGTTGATTTGTGTCTCGGCTTTTTCCTTACGTTTGCAGTGAGGGTGTTCGTTGTATCCTGATCCTTTAGTTTTTAAGTATTGAACTTGGCTTGTTGTCTATCTGCAGCTTCTGTTTCCTTGAAAGTTTTTAATTTGATTTGTAATGTTCCTTAATTTAGATAGTGATATGAGCCAACGTCTGCTCCTCTTCTTACTTTTGTGTCCAATAAGCAGCGCCTCCAGTTTCTTGAGATTGAGATGACGTCAATTTGGTTTTCGGTTCGCCCATCTGCTGATACCTATGCAGCCTTGTGGATATCCTTGTGTTTGGATACGCTGTCGCCAATCACTAGTTCATCAAAGGTACAGGGCTCAGCGAAGAGTTCTCCATTTTCATTGCATTCTCCGAGAGCTTCTCTACCCAGGATGAGTTGTCTTCCTGTGTTGCCTGGTCCCAGTTTGACATTCATGTCTCCCATTAGTATTTTAATGTCACCTACTGCAGTACTGTCCAATGTTGCCTGCAGCTGTCTGTATAACTGTTCTTCATTTTCTAGTTCTGTGTTACTTGTGGGTGCACATCATTGTATAATTGGTTCTTTCCTTCCTTTTTGAGTTAAGTCTGGTGGTCATTATCCTGGGTGAGATCGCCTCTCATTGTATGAGTGTCTTTGTTGCCGTTGATGACATCATGATAGCTAAACCCTCGGTGTGATCGTGGTTGTCTTCTGGATGGCCGAGGTAGATCACCGACTCTTCCGTTAACAATTTGATGAGTCCAATCCCATTCCATCTGATTACGCATATTATCAATACTTGATTTCCGTATCTTTTCAGGTCGTTCACTAGCTGAGCAGCTTTGTCAGTCTCATACATGGTGCGGACGTTCCATGTCCCCACATAGAATTCTTCTTTTGTCACAAGGAGACATCGTGCTGAAGTTTCTGTAGCAACCGTGTTAACAGGGTGTGATTGCTGGCCTCATGCCTGAGAAGAGGTTGTTACGTGAATGTATAGTTTACAGAGGAGTGACTTGTGGGTTGCTCTCGTTCGAATCAAGAAAACAAAGAATTAAGCAATCAAGACATTATCAGCAAAAGGAAAAAAGTAACAACAGGATGAGCAGTGACAACAACAATACATAAAGCCATAGCAACAGTATCACTTGCATAAAAAACGGTTAACAACAGTGATATCAAAACCATAGACTCACTGACCTGGGTCAAAATGAATATATAAGTCTAACAATGTATCATTGATATAAGAATAAAACTTGGGCACTGTGGTAGAGTATAATTCCATTATGGGTAACAATGTACACAGTTATGGATATTAGATAGTGTTAAACATTCACAATATGCTAAACAGATGCTTAAAGGTTTTATCAGTCAACAAGATTCTATCCACAGATTCAATGTTCGAAAGTCAAATAATTAAATAAATTCCACAACTTCTTGGCAAGAAACGCCAGAGAAATTAAAGTTTTATGTATCTGAGCAAATATGGCGTACTGATCGAAAAGCGTGTCAAGGTTGTTTTTTCTCTTGTTTTCTTAGCTGACCTTCAAAAGCTGCAAAAGGCAGCGGTCATCGCATCTAATGCATACAGAAAGACTTCAAGTGAGTAAATATATTCATCAATTTGATTAGTGAACTTTAAAGCACAATGAAGCAGTGGACAGGCCTGTACGATTCACCATTTGATGAACAGGGTGGTGACTCAGCTGTACAAATGACGTGAAGCCCAGATCGACTTCAACCTTTCTTTACAATGGAAAGCAGAGAGAAGAGTAGATCAAGCGTCCATCTTCTCAAAATATGGGTATAATAATTAAAAAAAGATGACATTGACTGCAGAAGTGGTATCGTTTGCACTGTGGCAGAATATAATTCGATATTAAATTAGTCCAGTGAATATAACACATATTGTCTCAGTATTCATAACTGGAAGACGTTTCTAGGACTATTTATCTCTCATAATCAAATCATATTATTGTATTATTATTTCTTAGCATATTTGCAGAGTATAAGGAAAGGAAATTACAAAAATGGTGAGTGACAGTTTTGACCTGCTTAAAATATTTTGAAGTTAAAAAGGTGTTCATCACTAAGCTCCATGCGATTCCTCTTTGATTGAAATTAATCACAGTTCTACATCAAAGAACTTCAGAACTTCACCCTCAGCAGACAATGAATTCATCACATTTTGATGATGGTGACTAGCTCGGTGCTACAAATGATGAAAAATCTCACTGTCAACAAGCAAACATCAAATTAATTATGAATAAATATCATGAAATTATGACATGGTATTTTGAATTGACAGCGACTCGTTTTTGAGGATCTCAAGTTTGAAGATCATGTGAAGGTAAAGACAAGAGACCAACCAGACGATAAGTTAAAGTAGGAATATACTCACTAATTGGAAATTCAAAGTGCGCAAATTACTGACACATATCTCACCCCACAATGAATGTATTTGCATGAAATAATTCCTTTCAGTATTGTCAAGTATGTATGCGACTATGAATTTGATGACGAGTCATTATTCCTTTCAGAAACATCGAATGATGCTGAAATTACGCAGGCGTATTGGAAGGCTCGTTATGATTTTGACAACGGCACAAGTAATTTTACATAGTTATTTGATTTGATCACATTTCATATTTAATAGTTATATTGATGGACGCACTTCAAGAGACAAAAGTAGTCTGTGTGGCTGATGACGTGTATATTATCAAGATTTTTTAATCCCTAATTCCACATACGGCTATATCATTGAAAAAATTAGCAACATTACTTGTCACACTTATATTGGAATCTGCAAATTGTTGAACAGTTAGTCAGAATCACGGCTGAAATATCTATGCACAAAAGCGTCGAGTCTACTGCTCGTATGGTGTTATTTTCATATTATTGAAACACGCAAAACTATTCCGATAAAGCTTCAATGACTTCATCAATCAATCATAGAATAAAGCCAGAAATGTTTATCACATATTATGTGAAGTTCAAAATAACAGTTAACCTCGTCTAGATTACTAGATCGCTAGTTTTCTAGCCGGTCCTAAGCCCAGATAATGAATGAGGGTTGAGGCGTGTTGCTAGCATCTTCACCCTCGCTGAGGAGGCTGCTGGGTGACATCGCGCGTCAGGCCCTCGAGTGTAACCCGTAAGATAACCAGCGAGTGGACGTTTAAGAGTGACATGGAGGAGATCGTGTGAAGAGGAGCTAAAACAATATGGATTAACATGGATGCAGGTGAAAAGTACAGCAGAAGACAGAAGCAAGTGGAGACGTGCAGTTGAAGCGTTATGTTCCACTAGGAACCCAAAGGAACAATTAAAATAATAATAAAATAACAGTTACATGGAGACTACATGGTATGATCGTGCATAATTGGCTTTATTTCATAATAATCCAACGGTGTAATGTAACATTGAAAAAGGTACTAATGCATTATTGAAAATCTATTCACTGTTTCAGGGATACTACTGAACAAAATAAAACAATTAGAAATGAGCCGGATTGAATTTTTAATGTGTAAGTTGAAATATTGAAATGATTTACAACTGACTAGTTCAAACCCCAGAATACAGAATAAACTGGCTCCTGGATGAAATGAAGGAAGATGCCAAGCAGTATTATTGAAGTAAGTTTTTACTTAGATCCTCAGCGTGTTTTAAATTACTAACTAACTGCACAAGTGAATATGAACTTGAAGATGGATTTCGAGGTTAGCTGAAATCAGCTAGATGAATTTTTGAGTAACAATGAATTTCTCTTCACTCGCATTTCTTGATTACTCATCAGTGAACAGGCACATGATGCCCGAGCTACTGGGCGATCGGCCATATGATCACAGTCGGTGGCTGCACCCAATATCAGGTTTGTAACAACTTTTGAGAACATCGTAAATTATAGTAGTGCTTCGCATAGCTGATTTCCTGTGAGGGGAATTGTAACTTGGAATCAACCAGATAATGTACACACTGAATATGTGTTTCAATATACACTGGAACTAATGCTTTATGACTAGTGTCATTGTTTGTTAGATGAAAATTGGGGAAAATAATTTCTGCTATACAAGATACGTGTCTAGTTTCAACTCACTGTTGCTCTATTTCTGGTTTCATTCTGTTTCAGCTGCAGGAAAGTGAATTCGATTCCAAGGGAATTCAAGCAATATTGGTGAAGGGAATAAATTGTTTACTTATCTCTTTTTGTTTTTTGATGACTTCGTCAAGAAGAAAATTTTCTTCTCTGCAACCGTCTTTTAAATAATTCCTTTTGTTTAATTAAATATAACATTTTTCTTGGTAAGATTTTGTTTCAATTGGCGTTTTCTGTCTTTATAGTACAGTGGGTTACATGCAAATGAGGTAGCTAATTAAAACAAATAGGCTCACTGACTGTGCATGACTTTAGTATTATTGTTACGACTGACGAAGTGTATTGTTTAGCTGAGAGGAAATGTCAGTTCGGCGAAGCGTAGATATTTGCCAAAGACTATAAAGCGCGTATACGCATCATAATACGACGTGAAGAATAGAGAAATTGTGCGATAGATAGAGAAAGAGATAGTGTGTGAGAGAGAGACGAGGAAAAGATAAAGAGAGAGTTTTTATGTGAGTGTGAGAGTGAAGCATTGATAGGTATAAATATGTTGAGGGTGTGTGATTCAATCTGTTTTCCCCTTTAAACCTCGTGAGCTTTAAACGATAATGCAGTGAACGTTTTCTCATCAAAGTGAGACTGTTGAGGACAGAATTAACCCAAGAGCTTATAAAGAGATTATCACGAGAGGAACAGCCCATGTTCATCATTGTTTGTGTAATTCACATGTGTGCGTGTCGTGTTTTCGTTACAAGGAGAGAGATACATTGAGATGGATAGACAGACATACAGTCAGATAGAGATAGTGCGTGCGCGTTTGTGAGTGACAGAGAGAGAATTGTGAAAGTTTCTCGCACTGTTAAAAAGTATGCCTAGCCTCTAACGGAAAGCAGCGCAGCCTGATACGCTATCCCATCATCAACAACACACCCATCGTTTGCTACGCTCATTTTCCTATTAACAACTGGCTTTCTGTGCTTGTGATTTGTAAGCACGATGCATAGCACTATCACTCCTACATGTGCCTCCTAGTGACATTTGTCCGGTTGAGTGATTATTGAATTCTCAGTACTGTGGCAGTTAGTCGAAGGCTTTCATATATTTTGTGGCCATTATAATATTTGATTTCGGTCTCCTATTCATAAATATGAGTATATATTTGAATCGACAGCAGTTGACTTAAGTCTTTCACTGGCTCAATCGATGAAGGTATCAGGTCTTCAGTTTGCGTGAAGGTGGATTTCAAAGTGAACTCAATTGTCCATTTATGCTTAAATACTATGTGTTATTCTAAGTTACTTATCGTAATCCATTCTGTAATAATTTTGCTTTCCGAGTTCGTTCAATTATTTTCTAAATAACTGATAATTGGTAAAAAATTATATTTGTAATATCTCAGCGATATTGAAATGAGTAATTCCAACGTTGCGTTCGGCAATCTGGTCCGAACTTCTTCAGGGAAATTAATCAAAATTAAGATAACAGAGGTTTTATGTATAAATGGCACATCTTTTTTGTTTTTAAAAACTTTGTCCAATCATAATTCATAAACACAAGTATTAACAAGTATAATAAACAAAATTGTATGAGATGTGATCAAAATTTGACCTCGGACATACAAATATTGATCTAACTTTGTTAAACATTTTAAAAAGAGTGTGCATGCGTGTGTGTGTAAACAGTTATAAAACATTTCTTAACGTCTCCATAGGAAGATATAGACAGTCAGGAATTTGACCAAGTATTATTAATTAGTGATACATATCCACTTTTATTTATTAATCAGGATTTCCTATGCATCAGCTAACATCAAACCTTCATGTCCGTTCAAACTGCTAGTATCTAGAATTTTATGATTAGACGTATTTTCAAAATTATGGTGTTTAGGATTAGAGTTTAGTTTAAGCACCCTGTCGAACTTATTACATTGTTTTCTTCCTGAATATTGAGCTGCTTTATTCGACCTACTGGAGTTGTTAGGTGACTCAACAGCTACGGATTTAGGATGTCCATTTCGTTCCAGACAACGAAGACTGAAAACACGATGATTGTGCCAATTACAGAGTTTCTTTGTTAATTTAATTCGATAGGAAAATAATTCAAATGAACTGTCGTCAAGATTTGACCGAATAGTGCTAAAATATTTGGGCGCCGAGTGAGAAGTAGACATTTGTAAAAAATTATATTTGTAATATCTCAGCGATATTGAAATGAGTAATTTCAACGTTTCGTTCGGTAATCTGGTCCGAACTTCTTCAGGGAAATTAATCAAAATTAAGATAACAGAGGTTTTATATATAAATGGCACATCTTTTTTGTTTTTAAATTATATGTTAGCTGATGCATAGGAAATCCTGATTAATAAATAAAAGTGGATATGTATCACTAATTAATAATACTTGGTCAAATTCCTGACTGTCTATATCTTCCTATGGAGACGTTAAGAAATGTTTTATAACTGTTTACACACACACGCATGCACACTCTTTTTAAAATGTTTAACAAAGTTAGATCAATATTTGTATGTCCGAGGTCAAATTTTGATCACATCTCATACAATTTTGTTTATTATACTTGTTAATACTTGTGTTTATGAATTATGATTGGACAAAGTTTTTAAAAACAAAAAAGATGTGCCATTTATACATAAAACCTCTGTTATCTTAATTTTGATTAATTTCCCTGAAGAAGTTCGGACCAGATTACCGAACGCAACGTTGGAATTACTCATTTCAATATCGCTGAGATATTACAAATATAATTTTTTACAAATGTCTACTTCTCACTCGGCGCCCAAATATTTTAGAACTGATAATTGGGATTGTATTTTTTATCTGGCGTCTTACACTACTTATCATTAGTCAGTAGGTTGAGATATCGCATAGTTTTCTACAACACTATCATAGGTATATTGAGTGATTTCATTGCTGAACAAGAGACCACTTTGAGGAAAGAATAAGGCTGCCTGGTAGTAGAAGTGAACTTCTTGTTGAAAGAACAATATATCAGGAATAAAAGTAACATCGAAGCATGATATTTCATCGTTAATCAATACGAAAGAAAACTTGAGCAGGGCAGAATATCCTTTACGATAATTTCTTCCTCCTCTGGCTGTACATTTTTATGTATGCATCTTTATATATATATAAATACCATTATTCTAGAATAATTATCGTTAGCAATATTAGTGCCTTTTAAATACTATAGATTTGTTAGGATCACAATGGAATTACAGACAGTTTGAGAATGATGCATACGTTATGATAATTAGCACTAAACTGTAATGGTAAACAGAATATGAAATAAAATGAAGGAAATCTCTATAACCACAAATTAGGGATCACTACAACATTGCCTGGCAGCCAAATTAAGGACAGTCTCTGAATTGGCTACTTTAGGGTACATAAGTTAGAATTTCTTATGTATATCCCAATTTGGAGAAGACGAACTCTTGAGATATGGTAGATCACTTTGAAGGCCTGCTCGTTGACATCCCTCTTGTGTTCTGTATCCACAAGATAAGTGAGATAGAAAATGGCTATGAATGGATTCTGTTTGTCCCTTTCTTAACTACTGTGCTGTATGATGTTAGAAACTCCAACGATAAACACACCTTATTGTACAGCCTTTGCAACTAATTGGTTCACTCCACAGCAAGAGCAATCAAATTAATAGATACACATAGAAGAGGCGAAATAAGGCAGTGTGTCTTTAACTCCCAAACGCAAACGGGTGGGTGGTTTTCATGACATAGCATAATTCAGCACCACTGAATTCTTTCTGTACTACCGTATTATTTAGGCGTTGTGTTAATATCACACTGATGTTACCATCATCGAGGAACTGAAGTTGTATGATAAAGGTCTATTTGGGAACAGTTGGTTGATGCTTTCGCCTGCCTTGACTTTTGATTCATATTCTTATCGATGAATTTTTCTGTCTAACCGTTCTCGCTCACCAACCATTTATTAATATTAAACTCCTCATTGAGACATTCATCAGAGTAGATTACTCTTCCTCTGTGGCGAAACAAGTACTTTATCACACTGAGTTTGAACTTCAAAGGTAGGAAGCTGAAATAATGAGTATACTGACAGTCAGTTGATGCAAGTTTTCTTATGACCCTTCACCTTCCTCTGATTGTACCGTCCTCTTTTATAGTCATGAGGACGTCTACGGAGTGAATTGCTAGAGTCTCTTTGTTTTCTTGATACTAATATTTTTTGCATGATGAACATGGTTAAATTTGTCAGTGAATGTTCTTTGCTTAATCCTCATTTTTCATAATCAGAAATGGTTCCTCAATACCTCCAGTTCAAGTAAAATAATTTTTAAGTCGTTACTGATTCATATCAGTTATGATGTTTGTACCTTCAATCGATCATGTATGCTTTCTGTTGATTTTTGAAAGGAGCATCTCTACATCCTTGGTTGGATGAAAGAGATTTCTTTCCAATTTCACTTCTGCGTTATTCCTTCAAATTCCTCTTCCAAATGTCACTTACAGGACCACTGAAAACGACGGGTAGGTGGGTAGTGCTGGGGTTGTTTGTACTGGACAACTCTTTCTTCCACGTTTGGCACTCTTCGACAGTACTCATCCACAAGGGTTTTAACCCAGAATGTAAATGTCACACGTGAAGCTTGTTGACCATTCACTCACTGGCACATCAGGTAATGGTGTGATCACCAGCCAGTGAGTCTCTAGGTGATCTAAGCTCGCAACAGGAACATAGTGATATATAGATATAATTTCCTACATGTCTGTCTGATGTGTCTGTTTGTATTTCCATACAACCCTCAACGAAAAGAGACTCTATTGGTTTATGACTTGATTTTCCCCTCACACTGCATATAACCTTTGAAATTCTATTAGTTGTTCGATATCCTAATTCATGAACGACATTGGTGCTTCTCCAGGTCATTTTAAACATTTATATATACATATGCATGCACTGTCAACCTTTTTTTAAACTGTTGTTTTTAGGCAGTGAAAGCTCTCTTATCAACGTTCAGTCTTCTCTTCTGTCACAGCAGCCCAGCGGTGTTATTGT